TTGCTTATATTTCTGGCCACCAGCCATGGGAATGCGCCACATGCAGCCCTCGGAATGCACAACAAAACAGCCCAGCTAGTCCCGCTCGCTCGCAAGACCCCTCAGAGCAGCATGGACTGGTTGAGCTGGAAGGGGCCGGGGTCGCTCAGGTCCAGCCCCACAGCTGCGTCTTGCATGCCTCCAGTGTGGGAGAGCCCACCACCTCCCCAGGCCATGGGGCCCTTTGCAGTAATGCTCTAAGCCAGGAAGGTCCTCCGGATGTTCAGCCAGAATCGGGCTTTCTGCGACCTGAGTGGGGGATTTCATGTCCTGCACTCTGGGGTGATCCAGAGATCCTGGCCTTCGTCTCTGTGCCAACCTTTAAATACTTGAAGAGCGCAATCTCCATCAGCATCTGTGGAATTACTGATCTCAGAGGCCTGAAGATGTCCTTGGCCCAAGGACCCCTCGGGCTTCGACGGCACCTGCGTGAGGAGGGCTGCCTGCGGAACCACCACCGCCTTTCTGCACTGCTGGATCTCTGTGCGTGGCCAGCTGCACCCACCCACAACGGCCGGTGCCGGGGAAGGCAGGGAAGGAGAGTGTCCGATGCCCGGAGGAGGCCTCTTTGAAGCAAACCCCCTTAATGGCCTGAAATGCCACGGAGGCATCGGTAGCCTGTGGCGTGAAGCGGAGCGGCATTGCGTGTGGGCCAGGAGCCCCCCTCGCAAACTGGGGAAGCAGGCGGCTGCAGAAGGGCAGCTGCTCAGAGGAGACGCAGGCCAGCTTCCTTATTTACGTAAGCTCAGCAAGAGACCTGCAGACACACCTTCTGGATCTGCCTAACCCTGACCCTAAAACCTGTGCCAGGGTGCAGAACCCAGCTGGGATGCCGAGGGAAAGCAGATGGCTGGTGCCCTGTCCCATAACCCCGCTCGGCTCTCTGACAAGCAAGAGGAGGCAGGCTGAGCGTAATTCCTGTCGGCTCATGCACAAAAAGCGTATCCGGGAAGCAGCGCGTATGCCCAGCTGTGGCCCAGGATGCGTCGGTCCAGGGAAAAGCCGCGGGTCCCATTGGCCGCGGGCGGGTGCGACTCCTGCTGGGGGGAGCCACCCACTCCCGGTGGGCAGCCCTCAGCCGGGCAGTCGGTTGTGTTGCGCTGGCTGCGGCCCCCTCAACATCTCCAGCCAGGCGCAGGGCAGCGCGAAGCAGAGCGCCTGCGACGAAGGGCTCCTGAACGCCAGAACCGGCTTCGAGGGCCCGAGCTGATGGGCAGGCACAGGCCTTGCAGATTCACTCCAGGCTACCCCAAGGTTTCTGAGGGTGACGGGTGGTATAGTCCAACCCCTCCGAAGGCCCCCAGATGAGGGGAGACTGAACTGCAGGGGCCAGGCAGCAAAAAGGTGGGCCGACTAAGGAGAAGCTGGGCGTCACTTGCCCACCGCATCCTTTCTTCCCCCAGACAGACCCCCGGCGCTATTAACAACAGAGCGAAAGGGGTCCAGCAGCCAGTGGGGCCCCTGAGCCAGGATACCAGGCGGGAGCTAAGGAGCCGCTCCCCCGGCCCGCTCTCTACACCCTGGAGCTGGTCGCTCCCTCAGGAGGCGACTGGCCAGCTGGGGATTTGCGCTTAATCCCGCTCAATTAAACTCCTCATTGCCAGTTTCATGGATGCTACCCAGGTTGTTGCAACATCCGGGGCTCCTTCCTTTCAGGGAAAGATGCAGGCTGGAGAAAAGGAATCCATCTCTTTTGTCACGGTACAGGCCAGCATCTTCCCAAGAAGCAGGAAGTTCCAGAGAGATCAAAGGGCTCCTTCAACCAGCGCACAGATAAAAAATGGACTGCCCTTCCTGGGAGGCAGCGATGGCCACCACATGTGAATGGCTTTAAATGGGGCTTGGACAAATTCCTGGTGGATAAAGCTACTAGTCCTCATGACCACATGAGGGGCTGTAGGACATGAGGGGGGCTGTGGCACTTCTGTCCTGCTTGTGGGCTTCCATTTGGCCATCGTAAGGAGAGAATGTGGGTCTTGGCCTGATCCGGCACAGCTTTACTGGGATCCCCCGGTGCAGAAATGCATAGTGAGAAAAGCCCCATCTCCTTGCATTCAGAGTGACAGGCTTGCTCCTAAAAGCTTGGAGCCGGGCCAATTTTGGCCTGTTTTATTGATGTGCACTCCACCTTTCTTCCAGGAAGGGATGGCACTCAGCGTGGCTGGAAGAATGACACCAAGGAGAGTCGGGGAATTGATGCAATTGAGCTGCATTTAAGAAGGAAGTCTTAAATGCAAAGCTCAAAGAAGCAAGCTGGAAGTTGGCAGATCACCCCCCAGACACCAGGGACTGCCATTCTCCTGCTCGGCTGTGCAGGTGCTGAGCTCCCAGGCTGCCTGGCCCTTGTGGCAGGAACGGTCCACTGTGGCTGTGCCGGGAAATTCACAGGTCTGGTGTTCTTAAGGCTGCCTTTTTGCCCCCCCCCCCCCGGCCCCACATACCCTTTAAACAGCCCCTGCACTTTTTACAGCAATCTGACTGGCATGGAAAGGTAAGGCTCTCCCCAGCAAACATCTCCAGGCCGGAAAAAATGTTGGGGATGATGGGAACTGTAGTCAACGTAGCTGGAGGGTGACAAGTTGGGGAAAGCCGTGCTCCATTCTGCAGGTCACGTTCCTGCTTGGGGCATGGGAGACGGGTCGTTCGAGTGCCTTAGGAAGATCATGTGGGCCTCGTGTCCCATGGAGAAGCACCGTGGGACACAGAACGGGGGGAGCAGGGTCAGAGCCCCCTCTCCCTTGGGCCATGGAGCTCGTGGGCTGAGCACAAGCCGGGCCACTCTCCTTCCATCTATCCTACCTTGCAGGGCTGTCGTGAGGGTATGGGGTGGGGTAGCCCCCTTCACCCATGCATGCCTTCCAGAGCTTCTTGGGGAGTGGGGGGATGCAAGGGGGAGGGAGGAGGGGAACCTTGGGATATCCCTTTGAGAAACTTGGGACAGAGAAACTTTCCTGAGTCTCCGAGTCTCCGCAAACGTTTTCTTTCTTATCAGCTTTGCTCTGGTTAATGATTATCTCCATGTTGTGAAAAGTTTCCCCTTTACCTTTCAGGGTGCAGCTAAAGGCGTGGGAGCAGGCCTTCTTCTATTCAGTTGGCAACCCTGCAATTGCTTAATCCACCAAACCGAGCAAAGTGACCCAACCTTCCTCTTTTGTGGGCTTTCATGCCTGCAGGGACTGGATTCCCCAGTACCAAGAGAAGAGAAGAGAAGAGAAGAGAAGAGAAGAGAAGAGAAGAGAAGAGAAGAGAAGAGAAGAGAAGCAGCAGATGGGGGGGGGGCAAGGTGCTCGCTTGATGCCAGAGTCAGAGGGGGAAAGCACAGCGGGGGCAAAAGGTGAAATAGGAAAGCAAGAGACGACCGAGGCTCCGACAGCAGCGGCTTAAGAACATTGCTCTCCGCTTCTGTAAAGTGATGTGTTTTGATCCTGATCGTGTCCCTGGTATGATTGAGAAGGCTTGTCTCGGCATAGGGTTGCCAACTTTTTCACTGGCTCCTGCTCCCCTGCTTTTAGCAGCAGCTCTATTGGCAAAGGTGAGCCTCGCTTTCCACATTTCAAGCTGTCCTGAAAGACGCAAGCACAGACCAGGAGAATCCTGCTCAGAAAATCTGGCATTTCTGTCCGGGACTCATAATAGACTCTTTTCATTTTTTGTTTACATAAACAGCAAAAAACAGAGCGACAGAAGAGGAAGCAAAGACGGAGAAGGGTTGTAAAAGAGGAAAGTGATCCTCAAACAGCAGTTTTATCTGCTGGGCTGAAGACGCACATAATTCTTGTACAGGGTTTGCATGACTCGCCTCCCCAGTTTGGTCTCATTTGCCCCTCAAAAGATGGCTTCCAGCTCCCTCCAACCTACCAGCAGACAGACCCCTCCCAATAGACGGGGCGTATGGTCCTTTTGCCTTCTAGTCAACCAGCCTCCCCGAACCCAGCACAGTTAGCGGGGAATGATGGGAGCTGTAGTTCAACAAACACTGGGAAAGCTGCATCTGAGTTTCCCTGCCAGTGGGCCGAACAAACGAGTGGTTCATCCAGGCAGGCAGAATTCACTGCGAACTGGCCAGAAGCCTCCGGCCACCAGGCAGTGAAAACGCTGAAGTGCTCCATCGAAGAAACAACCCCACCGCTCCCAGCAAGGCGCCTGCCTGTGAGGGGAGCGCAGTGCGGCGCCCGGTGAGGAGATGCTCCAGGGACCACACGGCCCTGCTGCTTTGAAAGGAGTCTGGCCAGTCGAGAGGGCCGGGCCGGGCTTCCCAGCCAAGACTGCTTGCCCGGCAGCGACCGGGCAGATGTGTGCGGTGCAGCTCACACAAGTGCGGCCGGCTAGCTCTGCCCCCTGCCCTGCCAGGCAGAGGGAAACGTCCCGAACCTGCACCACTGCGGGCATTGCATGGCCATGGCGGACGGCTCTCCCCCCGCACCCCTGCCTCCTTCCTGGGCTTCTCCCCACACACGCTTCCATTGCAGGGGGGGGGGGCGGATCGCCACGATCTCGGGCGACTTTCGCACTCGGCGGGAGCTTTTCCGAAGCCTCCGTCCGCAACAGGCTCCCTGGCCACGGTGGGGCTGCCTTCCGCGGCTCCTCTCATGCAGACGGGAGTAAGGGAGGCCGGCACGTCCGTCGCTTGTGGCGGTGGGGCGTGGGGGCCACGTGCCACTCGGCCCCACGCGAGGCAGCAGCTGTGCCCACCCAGCCGGGGAGCTGCTTCGCACGGCGGGCCTCCCCGAAGCAGCCCCCTCCCGCCTCGCAAGCAGGCCGGACCACAGGCACGACACCCCGGGTGCAGCTACCTGGGGTCCCTCCAGTGCGACAGAGGGGCATCCCGACCCCCAACCCTCACTGCTCTGCCCCCGCTGCACGGCTTCTCGCCAGCGGACCTCACGCTGGCCCCCCCGTGCTGCCCCCAGGGGACTCCGCGGCCCCTGCCCACGCCCCTTCCAGGCCCGAGCCGGACTTACGCTGAGGGGCAACGAGCAGATGACGAAGATGGCGGTCATGAGGGCCAGCAGGATCAGGTGGTCCACCTCCTCCTTGCCGCGGCCGAACCAGCTCTTGCGCCGGCGCAGCTGGGCCATGTTGGCGGAGCCGCGCCGGCGAGCCTTCTGCTTGTGGTACATCTGGCACAGGCTGACGATGACCAGCCCGTTGCAGAGGAAGATGGCCAGGATGAGCAGGGCCATGAGCGTGGCGTAGGCCAGCGAGAAGGCGGCGGCGCCCGAGCGCTGCTCCGCGGGGCCGATGTCCATCTCCACGAAGCACCACGTGCCCGGGCAGTACTGCTTGAACCTGCCCACGCCCAGGAAGGGCAGCAGGCAGAAGAGGGCGCTGGCGGTGAAGATGGTGGGCAGCGAGAGCTTGACCCAGCGGCGGACGCTGTGCTGTGAGTAGAAGTAGGGGCAGCTGAGGGCCAGGCAGCGCTCCACGGCCATGGCGCCCAGGATCAGCAGGGCCGCCAGGCTGAAGTACATCATGGAGAAGGCGAAGAGGTCGCACAGCCAGTGCCGCCCGCCCGCCATGCCCACCAGGGTGGCGTTGCGCGAGTAGGCCACGAAGACCACGGGGCTGACCACGCAGGTGCCCAGCAGGTCGGTGATGGCCAGGCCGGTCACCAGGATGCAGAAGGACGAGGACTTGGTCCGCAGCTCCTTGCGGTGGATGCCCAGGATGGCCAGCGCCAGCAGGTTGCCCACCACGCCGGCCGCGAACATGAAGGCGCTCATGCTCGGGTTGCCGTCCCTGCGCAGCTGCGTGATGGTGGCGCAGTTGTTCTGCGGGGTTCCCTGGAGGGCAGCCAGCGAGCTGGGGCTCACGGGGCTCAGGGTGGGCATTGGCGGCGGCGGGCTCCGCGGGGCTCGGCTAGGGAGGCGGGGGGGGGGGCGTCAGAAGGACCGGCGCGGCCGCTCGCAGCCAGCCGGGAGGCGCTCCGGAGATTTCAGCGAGGAGGAGGAGGAGGAAGTTGGGCGGCCCGGGTCTCCACCCGCCCGTTCCCAGCTGACATCGGGGAGCCGCCTCTCGCGCTGAGGACGAGGCTGCGCCCCCTGTCACGAGCCCTGCGTCTGATCCCAGGGGTCGAGGAAAGGAACACTGAGGGCTAGCAGCTTGGAGCAGGTCCTGAAAGTCCGTTCGCTGCCGGGTGGCGCTGGGAGGGAGTCGCGCCCGCCGGTTCAAGCGCAGCGAAGGCGCAGCCCCTCCGGGTGCCCGGGCTCTCTTCCCAAGCCGAAGCAAGCCATGGAGCCCTCGGCCGGGGGTTCGCCCGGGGCGCAGCGTCTTCTGCGGGGCAGGAGCCGGGGCTTGCCAGCGGCGGCAAGGCGGGGCCGAGCCGAGCCCCCCCGGGGGCCTGCCCCGTCCGGTCCCCTGCGGCTTCCGCCAACGGCCCCGTCCGCCTCCGCGCGGAGCGCCTGTCTGTGCGTGCGGCTGCTGCGCTGCGCGGGCGCGCATCTGAGCCCTCGGAGCGGGCGGGAAGCCGCCTCGGCTCGGCTCCGGCGGGGCGGGAGGGCCGGGGTGGGGTGGGGCTTAGCCAGCCCGCCCCAGGCCCCCCCCCCCCCCCCGCGCCGCGCCGCGCCGCGCCGCGATCGCCAGCCGGGCGAAGCCGGGGAGCCTCCCGCGGCCCCGGCGCTCCTCGGGCGGCCTTCGGCGGAGCCCCGCGCGCCCTGCCCAGCGCCGAGCGCAGCTCTCGCCCCGACGGACCGGAGCCCGTCCCCCGAGCCGCGGGCTGGAGGGCGCAGGGGCCCGGGCCGGTTCCGGGGAGGACGCGTGGCCGGCCGCCCTTCGCAGGTGCCCCGGTGCTTTTCTGGGCTGGGGGGTCGTGCGGGGCGCGGGGGGGGGGGGGGCGCTGACCCGGGCGGTCAGGCTGCGGTTAATCCCACCTGGAAGGGTGTGCTGCCCCAGATTTAAAGGGGGCAGCTCTAATTGTATGGGGGAGGGGGAAGATGCCTGCATTTGGGTGCAGTTCCCACCCCCCGGGCCTGGAAACGTGAGGATGGGGTAAAAAGAACCGAGTTGAATAAGCATCATTGGATAGCTTGGTTTCTTTGGGGCTCGTCCCCCAAGTGGCCCCCCCACCTGAAGGAAGGACGTTTGGAGGGTGGTTCCAGGAGACGGGGACTTTCCAGTTGTGGCTCCCCATCTGCAGAACTCCCCCCCCCCCCCCAGGACGCTCATCTAACACCAGCTTGTTTCTTCCTCCCTCCTGAGCTTTTTAGAAACTTGGCTTTTCGTTTCCACCTGTCGCTGTGCTTTGAGTCCTGCCTTGAGCTGCTTGCCCCGTGGTTTATTCTTTTAACTCATTGCATTGAGACTTAGTCTTTGAACTGTGTATACTCTGCCCAGGGAACACCTGGGCATCAGGCCATTAAGAATAACAACTAAAATAGCTTAAATAGCAGATAAACACCAAGCTAAAGCTGGCATTGTGATGGAAGGGTTAGAGTGCAGGATTGCAAACCAGGAGGCCTGGGTTCTAGTCCCCATGAGGCCCGGAAGCTCATCGGGTGACTTTGGGCCTGTCACAGACTCTCAGAATAACCTACCCCACAAGGTTGTTGTCAGGATGCAATGGAGAAGAGAAGGAGGCTGTGGCAGATGACCAAGGAGGAAATGGGAAAGTGGCAACAACCAAAATGAAGAAACCCCACCCACCCCAGCTGGCCTCTTTGCACGGTCCCCCTTCCATCTCCACCAGGACAGGCCGACAGGGATGTCCTGAGACATTTTATTTATTTATTTAAAACATTAGAACATTTCTATGCTGCCCCATGGTAACAAAGCCTCGGGACGGCTCACATTTTGCAGCCTGAGGTTAAGTGCGCCATCGTGGAAGCCCACCTTGATGCGTACGCCCTTCCCAGGCGTTTTCTAGTGGAACCAATAAAAAGAGGAAAGGTCCTATTCCCAGCGGCAGGAAAACGTGGTTTCCACTGAGCGAACGAGCAGCAGTCGACTTCGAGCCATTCACGAGGGCATGTGACCTTCGGAGAAAAGGGCGCAGCTGGTGATGGCAAGAGCAAGAGCAGTGGGGGGGGGTGCTGCTGCCCCCGGCAATTGCCCCCTGAGCCGTTTGCCTTGCTTGGTCTCACGTCAGAGCCAGCCATGTTTTCTGGGGGGGCAAATATCCCTCCAGCCGGTCCAGAATCCCCAGGAGAGAAATGCTCTGCATCTGACCAGGGAAAGAGGAATACAGCGAGAAGAACAGCACCCTTTGAATTCCTGCCTGTCCTAATCTGCCTGCCTTTCCACTCAAGGACGTTGCCAAGTCTCAAACCCTGGAGAGGCGTTCTGGGCGGCTGCAGTGCAGCGAGTCTGCCAAAAGGGGCCCCTCGTCGCCCCCTGCTGGGCGGCCTGTGCAGCAGCACCCAAGGGCGGCCTTCCACGGGAAGGGGCATCTGGGCATGGCGGCTCGTCCAAGTGGACCCCTCCAACCGCTCCCCAGCAGGAGGCCCTGCACAGTGCTCGCCTTTCTCCCCTGAATGGCATCGGCGTGTGCATAGAAAGAAAAGAGGACGAAGACGCGGGGACCAGGTAGCGTTTGGCAAGTGCTTCAGAACCCCATAAATCCCACGGACGAGCGTCATAAAAGCCTTACCTGGGAGAGGCTCAAGATCGCAGCTCAAAGCAGTTCTGGTTTCCTCTGGGTGGCCGGGCATTGCGGGCAGGGCCTGTGCCCAGGGTCGGCTTGGCTGGGCACATGCCAGGGGCCCCAGCCCAGTCAGACCCCCGACCAGCCTCCCCGCTCTGCAGTGGGCCTCCCCCTCCTCCCTTCTCCAAGGCCAGCTCCTGGTGCATGGCCTCTGGGAGGCAGGGGTGGAAGAGGCCGCAGCCAGCTTGACCCTCAGCTTTGTGGGGGTCCTGATGGGGGGGAGGAAGAGGAGGAGCAACTGATGAGCACGCTGGCAAGAAGGGGGAGAAGCATGGGGGGTGCCTAAGCAGTCCGGGGATGCGCTTCCGCCAAGGGAAGGCTGCTCCTGAGGGGCCCGTCGGCTGTGGGCCCCTGCCTTGGAGGCCGGCACCGCCATCCCCAGATGCTGGGGAAGGGTCTGGCCAAGGACTGGCTTTGGCGGAGGGCACCGGCTGGCCACTGCGGGATGAGAGGGACCCTTCGCTGCGTCCAGCTGCCCCCCCCCCCACTCTCCCACATGTCCCTCTGGCTTGGGCCTTGTGCTGGAGATAACTAAATTAGGTTTTAATTGGCTTGTCCTTTCAAGGTATTTAACTTCCAGCTGATAAGTTTGTTTTGCCAGAGCTGGGGAAAATCATTAGACAGCATGAAAACGGACTCGACTCGAGCTTTCGGGTCAGGAGGGTGTCACAATGCCTCGTCTCGGGGGCCAGTCGCCACGTTTGTCATCTGTTTCCCAGCAACCCTGCGGGGCGGGCTGCTTACAGAAGGCCTGCCTGCAGCCAGGGCTCTCTTGCCCTCAGACAACCGCCCTCATGCCTGTTGCGGATAAATAAATGGGGAACAAGAGCACCTCTGAGCATGGGTAGATCTGACAGTTGCATCTAATTCTGCCTTCCCCAACTGGGCGCCCTCCAGACTACCAGTCGTGCACCAGGTTCGAAAAGGTGTATGGTTTCTTTCTGGACTCAGAGTTGTTTATATTGTTGCTTATGGTGGTGGTTGTTTTGTTACATGGTTTTTAAGTGTACAAACACAGGATCAGAGACAGAGAATAACAAATGCCCCCAGCAGGCTGCCTCCCGTATCCTCTGGGCCCTCATGGCCCTCGCTCCAACCCTCCTCCTCCCGCTCCCCATGGCGGGCAGCAATAAATGCCCGGCCACGGCTGCTGCTGATGGATTTTCCCGGCCTGGCCAGCAGGATGCTAAGGGGCGAAGTCTGCTAGCTCCGCGCTTCCGTCAGAACCGGTCTGGCGCTCCCCCTTAACATATTAGGAAGCCTAGCGGAGGTTTACGGGAAGGCTGGGCATCGCTGGCGCAGCGGCCGAGGGGCCTGTGAAGCTTCTTCCTTGCAGTGCTTGGACAGCTCCCCATGGCTCCCGATCCAAACACGCGGTGCGCTCCCCCTTCCTCGCCCGCAGCAGCCCTCCTCCTGGGCACGTGGCACGGTGAAATACGGCCGCACTGTCTCTCCAGCGTTCCCCAGCTCCTCCAGCCCCATGAGGCTCGGCCTGCGGGCAGAGGGCCCCCTGCGTCCGTCCGTGCCCTCCTTCCTCTGGAAACGCAGTGCCAGCACTGCCCGTCGTCGTCTTGATTTGACCCTCAGAGCAGGGCTCCCCAATTTCTTTGCACCCACGGACACAGCCAGGGCGCTGAGAAACTGCCGTTGGCACCACCGGGAAATGTCTAAGCTCAGGGCTGCCCGTTTGGGTCTCTCCGTTGACTCTCGGGATCGAAGGCTGCCTCTTATTCAGCAAAAATAAGAGTTTCGCGTCCCCCCGACATGGCGATGTCGCTTTCAGCTCACGGCAGATGGTACAATAGCCGCTTCTTTGTCACAGATGCTTTGGCAGTTGCGTTCTCTTGCTGGAAGGCCTTTTGCAGATGTGCTTTTTCAAATTATTTGCCTGCTTCCTGGAAATTAAGAAATGGTCGATCTAAATGGATTCTTGATGGCCTTTTGGTATGCAACCAATGAGGGTGGTACCCATTTTCTGAATCTGATTCCAACTTCAAATGGATCCTTGTTTGGATATTAGGGCCACTTTTGCTGCTGCTTGTGTATAATTGCCGGAAGGTTCTGCGCATTTCACACAACAGTGTAGGCATGTTGAAACCATCATAAAGAATTATTTGTTTTTCGGCACCAGGCCAAGACCTTTTTATTCAAACGATATTTTAATAATTGTTGATTTTATTTATTGATTTTAAAATATTGAGCCAGGATGAATCCAGATTTT